TACTTCCTCTCTACTCACTATTTTATGAGTTTATATTTGAGATATGTAGATATTTTATATCTACAAGTCCTTAATAGAAATTTCCCACAATAGCCTTCTTCAACAAAACAAAAATTTTATTACCTCTAAGGTTTAATTTAATTACTGCTAAGCCTCCTGCTAATTCTGAGTTAAATGTGTGATACTACAAAATAGCAGAACATTTTAGGTGGTCTACTTATTAATCAGTATGAACAGCCCAGATTAAGTATTTACTCAAGCATATTTATTTTTGTTTCTAGCCCCAGTTTGGTGATCATTTCAAATAAAACACCGCATAAGGAAAGGTTTAGGTAAAAGAGAACCCACGTGAGTGGGTCGATATAGACGGTTCTGCCTAAGAAGCAAACCAACCCAACCTTCAAACAAAATTTTAATTGGATAACCAAAAAGAAATAATTAGCTTGATCATCAAGTGATAAGTCCAAATTAAGTTGGCTTTGAAGCAAATTTCAAATAACAATATTAATTCCGATAACACCAAATCTATTACGTGAATAAGCTAAGTAATGTCAGAGTCTACCATTTATTCTAGACACATTCATTAATTTGGCACCTAAATATTCAAAATTTTGTCACCGATTTTAAGAAGGGAAGGATAGTTTTCGTCTGTCCATCTTCCAGAAGAATTTTCAAACTCCACCTTAGTCTTTTTGTCACATTCCTCTTGAGTCCTCGTGAATTCTTGGTCTTTTGCCACCAACTGCTCCTTGGCCTGAGCAAGTAGGCCTTCCAACCGGAAAATCTCATCTTGTTGCCTTGCCTTCGCGCTTTTTAATTCTGTGATCTGATCTGAACTTGAATTCAGCTCCTGTAACAAGAAAAATTAATATCTCGATATGCAGAACAGACATAGCGACAAGAAAAATTTAGCAAATACTCAGCGCCATGCCAAAAACTCAATATTTCAACTTGTTCACATTATCCCAGAATATTTGAAGATCTCCTTAATATTAGCAGACTTCGCAACCTTACCCATAAACCCATTCTTCCTCAAATCTTTATTTATAGCTGAATGGTTCATTAATTGATTTTTATCACTTCCCTGCCTATAAACGATTGCATCCTTCGACACAGTATTCATGTAGTTTTTCTGACTTAAATCTCTAACCAGAAATGATTCCTGGCATACAGTCTTGAAAATGTTGATCTTTAACAAAACAGATCAGGCACGTGTATTGTCATTTCTCTCTACACTGAGTTTAATTATTTCAGTGAATATACAGGATCTGATAATTTATTTAGAGTATTCTGAATGATAGATAGCCTTGTAAACGAAGATGGGACATTAGCACTAAGGGAGTCAAATACAACAGCAAATTATTTGCTCTTTTAAATGGTGAAACTGTGAGGATAAATTCGAGCCAGAACCGTATAGAATTTTTGTAGTATGCATGGATAACATAAAGGAAAACTAAATTGAATTTTATTCCGCTTAGTATCAATAATTATTACCATGGCAGAAAACCCAGTATAGATTATTGCATCAATTGTGCTAACCGCGATCCTTGGTTGGGTCGTGAGGCACACTCATCGCGCGAATATTCACTTTAAATGAGTACTACTTAAATGGGTTACAATTTCACTTCAAACTAAGCAAGTTCCTAAATGATCTTATGTCGCCATGATTTGAATTTCTGTCCATAAAGAAAACTTGTGAATCACAAAAGGCAAAATTACTTAGCTGAAAATCATCCCAAAATATCCTCGTCTGAAAAGCAAACTAAATTATAAAAAATGAAGGCTGAATAAAATGGAATGTGTGTATTATTATCGGAATAACGGTTGCATATTAATGCATGTAATTGTAGATATCTATACCATATTTTAGCTTACCTCTTTTAGAATTTTTTGCCGGTGTCTAGCTTTTTCCATTTCACTCGCCAAGTCCGCCTGAACAGAGTCTAGCTTGATACTTAGTTCGTTTGCACTGGAGGCCCGACTCTCAGCTGCACTTAGTTGATGTATCAGCCCTACACGTTCGGAGATAAGTAGTGCCAACTATAAAATGAGAATTCACAGTATTTAAATAGTTATGCTTTGAAATTATTTTTATTCGTATCATTAGGCATTTTATTTCAAAGGAAATGTTTGATGTAAAGGCTCCGTAACTTGGCTCCACTGGAACACAAAGGCGGAGTGCTTTAAAGAGGTAACCTTTGATCCATGCAAAGTTGTCCTCTGTGTGCCATCCTGCGACAAAGACCCATTCGTGAAAGACATTGTTTGAACAGGTAATCCTATTTTAAGAAAATTTAGCAAACCTCTAAGCTAAAAATGGGTGCCATCTTCAATCTTTCTTGCTTCTTCTAAATCTACTTATCGTTGTTAATCAATCTTCTCATGATTTAGTTGTCTGTTTGATGCACAAATTGACCGGAGTTTGATCATTTAAGGGTGAGGCGTATTTTGACTCGTGGTTTTACGTGTGCCGTGTCAAAGTTTTGCTCTCCCCGAATGAGATTTTAGAGCTCAAACCAGACTCCAGGTCAAACGAGTCACCTCCTATCAATAGCTTGTTTAGCCTGCCCCTTTCCCGAGTAAAATAATATGCAATTATGGAATCACGGGAGTTAAGAAGTTAGTAACTAACAGTCTATATTTAATATATTAGGAGAATCTGGATTTCGAAGAATCCCTTAGTACAGTGATTCCCAAACTGTGCGCCGCGGCGCCACGGGGAGCGGCAGCCTCTCTACAGGGGCGCCGCGAAATATTGTAAAAGCTTCAATTTAAGAAAATTTGCAGGGATCTGCAGGCTCATCCATCACATTAATTATTAAATATTAATTAAATGTTAATAAAGTAAGAAAAATAATGAAGATACACGAGTTTTATTTATTTATATCCT